GAGAGAGAGAGAGAGAGAGAGAGAGAGAGAGAAATTCATCATTATTTGTTTGTAGACAATACAAGCCGTCAATATTGAAGATTATATAAGTTGTTAAAAAAATTTCGTGATTTAAAAATAAGTTATATTTTACTAAAATTAACATTTTTTAATGATTTCTTTTCAAATTGATATTTAATAATAAATGTTTTGACTTTATTTGTCACTTATTTATCAAAATATATAACCAGAAAATTTTTATCTTTAATTATAATTTCCAAATAAATTATAATCATATAAAAGAAGAAATATTTTCTAAACTAAACAATAATTTTTATTTTTCTCAATTTATAAATGCTTTCAACTTTTTTTTTAATTACAATTTTCTGATATTTATTACTCAAAGAAAAAAATATATCTTGAAATAAGTCAGAAATTTTCAAAATACCTAAAGGGCTGTGCATTTGAATGACTTTAAACATCGACTAAACTTCTGTTAATTTCTATATCTCTTACTCAAGCCGTGATTTATATTAGTTTTGTTACATTTAATTTAGATTTGTGTTCAATAAAGTGCTCGCCTTATCATTGAACACAACAACCAAATTGTTTATAATATCGTAATAAATAAATAAGTAAATTAGGGTTTCAATTGCCAAATGGCAGCCCTTTCAGCACAAAACTCTACCCGATTCACAATCGGAGCTCAGGCTTAATCATACCTATCATTGCAATTATAATCGTCGGCATAAATATTATCATTATTTCTAACAATATTTATCGTTTCATAAGAAATTCATTTCGTTTACTTAAAAAACCTTTTGCTTCGCATTTCAATGTACTGTAAGTACCGTTCCCTTCAACAAAACAGCCTCACTATTCACTGTATAAGACACCACAGTATAGATCAGCACTTAATTGTTGTTTACGAGAAGAGAGAAATACACAGAAAGAAAGAAAAGGAGAGAAATATCCTTTAAATTCAAAATCAAACCATGAATTTATAATTCACTTTTGATTGACATGTCTTTAATGCCCTATTTTTTTCTCTCTCTGTTTCCAAACACTTGTTGCCATTAAATACATAGAAATATTTTCTTTCACTATATATTTATTTGGGAGAAAAAAGCAAATCTATAACCAATTTTGTTGTATACTTTGCAAACTGCGTGAACAGATGTGGTCGGACATTGAAAGCGTACTTCTTGGCGACCATTTCGCCCATCAAACGGATCCGATGGCACCGAAAGCGACGGTTGTGTTGGTGTCGCACAACAGCTGTGTTGGCCCGCAATCGCTGTCTCACGTGAGCCGACATTCACTGCCGCCCTCGTCGTCGCCCAACGCGGCGCCCGATCTCACGTCACTCATGACTGTTCAACACTCCGGACAACACTTACATCTCAACAGTGCATCACATCTCACACCACAACCACAACACCAAACCACACATCATATGACGTCTGGCCCGCAGTTCAGTGATAGCGGTGTCGGCGCCGGCCGTGAATTGCCCGCCGATAACCGTTACGACGATATGACTCTTGATTTGACTGATTTTATGTTAAGTGCGGACACAAGTGCTCAGTTGTATAGCGCCGGCGACTCCGTCACTGCGGTGGCCGTCACCGCCGCCGCCAACCATAACCTCATCCACACGTATAATATGGTAAACATGACGACACCTCAACCGCCGGCCGCCGCGCCTGTCGTCAAACTGGAGCCGAAGGACACAATGCCTATACTTCACCAACAGTTAGTTCAGCCGCAAGTAATGGTTCCCATATGTGTCGAGTCGACCAAAACCTGCGCAACCGTTCAAATACCCAGTGTTTTGCCGCCGTATGGGAAGTGGACGCCCAGCGCCGGACTGGCCCTACAAATCCCGTCCACACAAATGTCACCGCCGGCCTCACCCGAGCGACAGCAACAACAACTCCAACAACAAACTCAATACCAAACGTCTAACTTAGCGGTCATTAAACTCATTCAACAACAACAGCAACAAATCTCTGGCCCACAAACCCAGACAACGTTAGTTAAGCCGATCAATGGTATGCCAATGAGTGCCTCCGCGCCCATCAGTTCGCTGCCGCACCACAAGATGGTTACGCCTCCCTCTTCGCCCAATTTGGCCGAACTCTTGTCGAGCGCCGGCTGTGCGGCCGCCTATCCGTCGGCCTGTGTTTTGGCCCCCATTAACGACCCGCGAGTCCTGAAGACGAGTCAACCCAACGCCAGAGGGAAAGCCGCCAAAAGCAATAAGAATGGCTCAAATGGGACGACAACTGTACGCAAGAAGACTACATCGCATTCGTGTTCACATCCGGGCTGTACGAAGACCTATACGAAGAGCTCACACCTGAAGGCCCACTTGAGGACACATACGGGTGAAAAGCCCTATCAGTGCAATTGGAAGGGCTGCGGCTGGAAGTTCGCCCGATCTGATGAACTGA